AAATTTAAAATAATCTAACTTAATTACTCTGTGTAAATATTTATGTTTCCTCAAAAATTGTTGTGACACGTGACCATGTTTAAAAGTTATCATTTGATAATAATATATATCGACTCCGGTGTTAGTAATGCTGTAGATTATGAAAGGAAAAACTTTTTTACTAACATATCGTCAACTTGACTTGAATTAAGAGGGCAGCAGATTACACATTCAACCAGAAAAGATCTGAATTTATCGTTTATTTGAAATTTTATTCTATTTTCCTTTTCATTTCTTTACCTGGGATCATGTTGTCAATTACCAACATTTTTCACAAATAACAGAAATAAAATCTTTACTGTAAATGAATTTTGATCCTGGTTTAAAAGAAGTCATACGAACTTAATCTTATAAACTTGATGAAAATACATAATTTAATGTTTGTACCTTCTTAACAAATTCCATTGCAATAGGAGTGTCTATGCCCAGTCACAAAGGCCTAGAGATTCTTTAAATAAAAGTCCCGACATACATTCAAATTCCACCCATCTGTACACTATGACACTATTTTCCATCAACTGGTTGCATTTGCAAAAATTCTGGCAGCCAATATCTCTCACGCATAGTTGCGTGAGAGTCGAAAACTGTTCCGCTGTGCAAAACTCTGTGCAAAAATATAATTTTTATCCAATATATTGAAATGTATTGTAAACTTTTAAACTTGCTCTAAGTAGTTGATACATACATAAAAAAGACAATAATGAAAATGTTTCATTCCTTCAATTTTGTTTGTATTTTATTGATTCTGAACCAAATAATTATAATTGTTTGTATAGAAGGTTTTCAAATAGAAATTATTACTTATCCATGGCCACTGTTTTAAGGCTCATTCCCAAATTTTATATGCCTAAGATACCATAAAAATCTCTTATATCTTCACGAAAACTAATAAAAAAATCTTTTACATATTGCTGCTAAAATAACAACTGCTTTCATAGGTGTAAAATAGTTTTGGGACTTCTCCTGAATCAGCTGTTTATTGAGTCTTTTTTCATATTTTATCTACATGTATAAATTATTTTGGCAAGGGAAGTAATATTGTAAAAAATGGGAACTATCTTTTCATTGGCTCACATAAGCTACGATATAATTATTCATTTTGGAAAGTCAAATGATATATTGTTTTTCTCATAAGGAAACTATATTATTATCAATATAAATATCGTATGTGACGGAATATGGGGAATGAATTTTACCGAGTTTTATAAAATGGTAATTTACAGTAGTGCAACCGTAAATATCTTATTAGACCAGCTTAAATTCGGATATTTATATTAAGTTTTTCAGTAATGTATTTATAGTAAAGGGCCTGGTCAAACATTGCACTGTCGTTGCTCAAAGATTCACTTTCCTTTCAATCAGGGTAAATGTAAAACAGTTTATACGCAACAAAATAATTGCTCTATCAACATTAAATAATACATGATGCGTTGCATAACGGTATTGTAAGTTTTCTGATTTAATAAACTAATTAAAAACGTCCTATTATCAAATAAATTCAACCGTTACTTCGCATAAGCATCTCTTTTCGGCGATATCAGCCTGAACCGTTTAATATATAGCACGCGACTGTCATTAATTAATATTTCTTGCATCAGACAGGATTATCTACCGTTTTCACCGGTGCTGGAAAACTCTGTCTTACACCCCCATGTAAGACAAGTCGCGTATTTAAAATGACGTCATTGACGTGCGCCTTTTATGAATGAATCGCGTTTTTAGGATGACGTCATTTTTCCGTTATGAATGAAGTTGTATGTTCATACACTACTATAAGAAAAAAGTGCGTAATGAGAATATCAAGCTAGATATTCCGGTCTGTACCGGCAGCCGGTGTAAAATTCTTATTGTAAACAAGCAGAAAAGTGTATTGCAGCTTCATCATGACTTTATGAAGTAAGAACTTATTTTAATTGTAAAATATATAAACTTGGATATATGTTTAATACAACTGAAAATATGGTTCTAATCTTTAAAAAGATTCTACAATAAATAATCATCTTTTGTTTTGAACTTAAAATTTTGATAGAAGGGGGGGGGGGGGGGGGGGGCCCGATAAAAAATTATCTCATAATGGAAATAAATAAATCTTTAAAGCTTGCCTTAAGGTTCTTTGTTTCGCGTACTTAGTTTCTATAATTTTCAATAAATATAAATATTAATTTCTGGATTTTTCTTTCAAAATTTATAAGTTTTTAAATTGCATGTGAATTACACGAGACATGCCTTACCGCCGGGTACGCAACCATCAGATCCTCCCGATGCTGCTGCTGTTGTTGTTGTTGGTGGCTGAGGTGCTGTTGTCGTTGTTGTTGGTTGTGGTGCTGTTGTCGTTGTTGTTGGTTGTGGTGCTGTTGTCGTTGTTGGTGGTGGTGGTGGTTGTGGTGCTGTTGTCGTTGTTGTTGGTTGAGATGTTGTTGTTGTCGTGGTCGGTGGCGTTGATGTTGTTGTTTCTGCAACTGTTCGTAAGAAAATATTCAAATAAAACTCATGCCGACTTTATTTTTCAAATGTATCGACAAAACTACCTAAAATTTATACTTTTCTGGAATTATTTAGTTCTTAGTACTTAGAATATTGACAATTATATAACTGTTTGATCTAAAATTATATAAAAATGTACGTTAAATTATATATTAGATTTATATGGATATTTAAAAAAAAATATTTCAACATAAAAAATATCCGGTAATAATGTCAAACATAAACATTTAGTTTCCGTTCTGATTATTGAGCACCTAGTGTTAAATATAAGTGACGAGAAACTTATTCTACAAATGTGGTACGTTTATTAAGCCCAATGTCGCAAAATCACATATGTTATACCTATTACCTGCTATGAATATATTCCATTTGTTATAATGAAACTATGTTATCAATGTAGTTTGTTGCAACTGTTGTTCAACATAAGTTAGTTTATTTTATACAAATTCATTTTACATGTATTTTGATTATGTTGGAAGCTATAAGCCTATTGGAACACCCTCGAATCCGTTGCTGGAACCAACCTGTACTAAGCAATGAGTGTAGAGTTTCTTGCTCACAGAAACAACGGTTTGCCCATGACGGGGTTTGAACCGCAAGGTCAGCAATGCTTAGATTACTAGTCCGACACATTAATCACTTGGCCATGCCACCACTCGTACTCATTGTGGTTCAGTAAGTTAAAAAATAAGCTTCTGGAAGAGGGTGAATAAAATTACATTTAAACCTATGACGAGATTTGTATTGAATTATTATTAAATAATTATTATATAGAGGATATTTGTTTGTTTGTGTGTAAGATGAAATTTTATTTCATCGAGTGGGCTTTAAAAACAGTATTCTTACGAGTGGCGTAGCCACGAGTGAGAATACTGTTTTTAAAGTTCACGAGATGAAAAAAAATTACATCTTACACAACAAACAAACAAATTTTCTTTTTATTTTATGCTTAAAAACAGGTTAAAACGAAATTTCCTTAATATTTACGTTAATATTAAAATCATGTTTTCCCCATTGAGAGCCTCAAAAAAGTCGAATTTCTCATTAAATACAAGAAGTCAAGGGCTGAAAAATAAGTTCCACAATAAATGTTAAAAGGTAGTGATAGTATTCATTTTATTAAAAAAATATGTCTGATTGCCTGTTTTAATAATAAAAACAAACAATTCTAGTAGGAGAAAAAGTCCAACCATCCATCCATATTTCTGTTACTGACTGCGAATTTATATTAGACCTGGCTTTGTTAAATGTAAACGGCCGCCATTTTTAAAGTTGTGTATTTCACTGGAGGAAAATAATTTTGTTTGATTCAGAGGGATATCATTTGGATTTGTTAGTCATACACCTTTTTAAAAGAAAGAAAACTTATTGGAGGATTGTAACAGACAATAAATAAGTGTTGACAGATGTGTAAACATCCAAAAAAAGTGGATAGGAAATTGGAAAACTTGGAAGCCTTACAAACGCTGGGTTGTTTACATATTCTTCGAGTGAAAGCTGCTATTGCTTTTCAAGTTTTCATGAAACATACGGCAGTTATTGCTCGTAGGATACTTAAATATTCCCAAATGTCATCAAGAGCAGTTTTGCATGTTGAAGGAATGTATTTTTCAGACTGTAAAAATGAAACAAAACAATTAAAGAGACGATGTATTTGGTGATTGGTAATTTGAATGAATAGAAGTGACATACTGTAAGTTTTCTTCTTTTTCTTAATTTTGATATATAAGTTATTTATAAATTTCAGCTTTGCTTTTCTTTAAGCAGCCTGACATTGTCGGAATAGTCAGCAAAAATAAAACTGAGGTACCACATGGGGAAAATCTTGAAAAAAAAAGTTTCGTCATTGAAAAGTGTGAAATTATATTTTGATAATTTTCACTGTGAAATTATCAAATATTATTTTCACGGATAAATCAGTAATCCACTGAAAAGCATAAAATTAATTGTTTTATTTTAAACCTTATAAAAGATAATTAATGACCCTCCAGCGTTTGAACCACTTTATGTTTTAATATAGAAATCATTTTTGAATCCAATCTAATTAATTAGGCCTTGTTTTCATTTCCAGAGTCAAATTTGTATATCAAATGCAAATTGTATCCCATATAGCCTCGTTTCATTTTCAGAGTACACAACCTATACCAATGCGCACTATACTCCATCTAGCCTTGTTTTCATGTAAGAGTAACACATCATTATTGTGCTTGAATTTAAGGAATTTTGTCAACATTTAAAATAGCATGTTTGTGGGAAATAACGACGTCAATAGACACAACTGCTTAAATATATCGTACTCGGCTAGCGCCTCCTCCAATATGGGATTGACAGCTGTGATCTCATCCAACTGAATTCAGTGTTGTTCTCCACAAAATGTAATAACCACATTTAATCAAGGCGTTCAATAAATTGAGTAATGAAGCTATACGCATTTTGAATTCTATTTAACGTATACCGAGAATAAAATTTTACAATGAAAAAGATTTGCATTTCACAGGCCTGTGTTAACGTTATGTATAACGCATATTGAAGTCATGCCAGAATATGAACACTGGCGTGAAGTAATATTTTACGATGTTTTAAAAGCTGCACTGGTATTCTGATGAAAGCTAATTTCATATATCAGGAATAACTCTTATCAATATAACTAATTTGTTTTAAAACCCATATATTATTCAAAACATATCGTCGCTTTTAATGATCCCCGCATGCACGGAATATTGCGCAGCGTTTCGAATTCTGGGATTTAGTGCATTAAATTCAGTATAATCTCTAAATTAATACATGTACGATATACCTATGGGAATTCAACACATTTTATTTTGCAAGTCAACGTAAACAAAAACCGAATGTACCATTATTATTATATATTAAAGCAAATTGAAACAAAATTATGCAAACACAAGCTAAATTAGGCATTATAAAATAATTTGATATTTGAAAGAAGAATGAGTGACTCTTTAATTAACAGTAAATCAAAGGATAGTAAATCTTAATAATCACAATATTAAAACACAGTTGGCCCAACTCATCATTACACAGTTGAAACTTTCAGGAAATATAAAACGGTCAAATAAATATGAATTCTAAACCAAAACGTTCACTTTATCGGACACAATCAGTCCTAACCAAAGTAACATGCACACTGTTGTCGTTTTTGCATCGTTTAATCATTGATGCAACCTGACGCACACACCGAATTACTGGTATTCGACCTCATCCATCAATCAGAGCATGAAGACGTTCAGCCAGTCTAGTTACAACCGGCATGCCTCCCGAGCTTATCAATCGGGTGCTCAATCGGACTCTTGAAAGTCTGGTGATACAGGGTCATACACGACTTGTGATGTTAGGACGGAAATTTGTTACAATACATTATCGACCAAAAAAGATATAACATTAATGATGAATAATAAAAAATGGCGTTACAAGGTCTTAAAGAATGGCACGGTATATAACAGCATTCAGAGCTTTTTAAACTTTTTTTTTAAAGTAACAAGAGTAACAACCGAAAAGTTGTCTCACGATTGCATATACAGTATGTGTAAAATTTATATTGCAAATAAAATGTCAGATCAACAAGGGAGAGTGTCATGTACTAAACGCAGGCAGCAATACACGTAGTAACAAACCACATATTAGTAAGGCATCCAGCAAGGCTACGGACAAAAAGGAGAGCACAAGGTTGGAGTAAGACATGTTTAAAGATTTATAACCAACAAACAACAATTCAAATAGAAAAAAACTATAAATGCGACAATCAACAAAACGTTTTTTTTATTAGATAAAAAGTGTTGAAGGAAAAGCGGGTAGGGGCAACGGATACTTGCTGTCAAATTGCAAATTCAATGGGAGGGAAATACTAATCGTTGACGAAGTATAAAATTAATGGTGAAACACAGAGACAGAAGTGTCATCCCATATAAACACCTCAACAAGACATTAAATAAACACAAAGGGACGCTGCCTTAAAACAGTTAATAGCAAACATAACTTCATGTGTGTTTAACCCGATTAAAGGTGCGCCAATCTCACACATAGCTCTAAAATATTCAAGCAAAAGTTATTACGTAACAAAACGTAAGATATAAAAAACCTCAAATATGGTCTTGTAAAGAATTGTTAATGGAAACCTAATGACCATTACAAAATTACTTATAACCTTAAAGGTAGGCACACATTAAATCACATAAAAGAGCCCGTAGAAATAAGGCAGAAGAAAGAAAATGAAATAATTCACACCCAATCGATTAAAAAAAAACTCCAACTAGACCCGTCAGATCCAATCAAACTGTTTGTTTAGACTTGAATACGCCTTAAACTAGCTGGGTATAAACTAAAGCACCTCACCTGCTGAAGAGACTCTAATAATGAATTCTGATACACATACCTTTAAAGGAAAGCCACCAAGGGGTTTTAAAAGAACGTTAATTAATTTTTTTTAAAACAACTGGAAAATTATACCTAATATGAAACGGAGTTTAAGAACCACGGCATCATGAAACAAAGTTTACGTATCCCTTTTTTATAATTTATACCTAAATTTAAACGCAATATTTGGTAAAATGCGTCTAACTCGCAATCATAAAGGACGTTAATGTAATAGAAAAATTCAGAGTTGTACAAGAATAAAAATGAATTAAGCCTGCAAAGAATGTTAATGTGATCAATAAATTGAACGAACTTTTATACAATTTTAAGCTTAATAATATGAGGAACAAGCGATTAGAATAAAATGCTTTTGGGCTATTAAGTTCATTTTGAAAATATTAATGTCATGAATACGTAAGGTAATAATACTATACCCTGTATTTCTGTTGGTACTGTTGGTACTTATACAAATTTATAATACAGTGCTTAAATGTGTTCTTTTAGACGTGGTTAAGTCAGTCCAAATTAAGTTGGTAGAAGATACTCATACTCACGGTTATACTCAATACTGGATCCAATAATTTTGGGTATGTTACGTTTCCAAGTATAAGGTAATGTATTGTCGGCTTTTTCATAACGAAATGTAACCAAACAATTCTCATTATATGAACACGCTAAGTAATAAATCAATATCAGAAGGAATTCTGTATTTTGGCTTGTTAAGAAATAATTTTCGTCTTGAATTAAAACAAAATAACTGGTTGTGGTCAAAATTTTGGTAGGTGGCACTTTTGTATTACACTGGAGGTTCCATTTTAACCGCCGTAGGAACACACCTGCGATGTTTCTAAATTCAAAATGTCACCATTTTCTTGATTATATGTTGAATTCTGCTTAAGCCAGTGTTTGCTACAGGGCGTGAACGGTAGCTTGCATTTTTCAGTATGGTCCATGAAAAGATTCAATCAAACCGAGTCTGCAACATTTTTAATTTTGCCATGTTGGGCATCTTAGGATTCTGTTTCACTATTTTGTTGGGCTCTGTGTGTA